CTTCCTTCCCCAGTTGTGAAAATAAAAAATGTCTCTAGACATCTCACTGGCCCCCGGGGCTGAGCACCACTGTTTTACGGGAAAACAGCAGAGAGTCCCAGCTGGAATATCAGGTTTCTCTCTGCTGTCGCCGGGTTGGTGGGGTGGGAGTCTTCTCCTCCCCGCCCCTGCTCAGGTGCCCCTGTTGCCAGTGTTCCTGTAGGGCCCTAGTGGAAGCACCTAGGGTGGCGAGTGAGGGGTGATTAGGTGGATATTTCTGGGGCTGTAGAGGGGTTGAAGGGCAGTTTTTGAAATGCGATCATGAAACCGGCTGGGTGGGGGGAAGGGGAGCGGCAGAGGCAGATGGGGTTTCCCATCTCCGTCCTTCTGACCTTGGGTGCCTACAATCCCAAAGACTGCAGGGCAGGGTCTCCTTTCCCCCTGGGGTGTTGTGTGATTTCTCGCCCTCCCTCTTCAGCACTATTCTGGCCAACCAGGGTGACAGGAGCCAGGAAGTGCTGTACTAAGAAAGGAGGGTGGCCCTGAAGCAGGGGAGGGAGGGTGTGGAGGTGCACCACGGGGCAGAGGCAGCTTTATGGGTGCCATTTGGAGACTGAGCAAGGGACAAACTGGACTGGATTTGTTTCCAGACCTTCCTGATGCCATGACCTTGAATGTAGCCCCCCCCATTCTACTTTCTCTTTACCACCTCTTTTTTTTTAATGTTTATTTATTTTTGAGAGACACAGACAGAGTGTGAGCAGGGGAGGGGCAGAGAGAGGGAGACACAGAATCCGGAGCAGGCTCCAGGCTCCCAGCTGTCAGCGCAGAGCTCAACATGGGGCTCGAACCTACAAACTGTGAGATCATGACCTGAGCCAGAGTCAGATGCTCAACCCCCTGAGCCATCCAGGCGCCCCTCTTTACCACCTTTTTGACCTTCGTTTTCCCATTTTACCCATTGATTTGTTAAATGGATATAGGCCAAATACCTATTGTATGTCTAGCACTGTATTAACCCCCTGGGGATGTTTTCATTTGTATTTGAGTTGTTCTTTTTCAAGGTGGGAGTAAGGACAAAACCATCTAGTTGGAAAACTATTACATATTTCACTAGAAAACATACTTTCATACACACAAGCTGTGAAGCCACTCAAATCATATACATAAATGCTGAAGGAAGCTGGAATAAAACACAATTTCTTAAAATGTTCAACAAATGGGCTTTTTTAATGATGTTAAAAGGGCAGAAAGAAAATCCAGCCTAAACAAAGGGCACCACAATCCTAGTACACCTCCAGGCTGGCACTGCCCTTAAAGGGTGTGTGGGTCAAAGGGCATGTTCAATAGAAGGGGCTCTTCCCCAACTGGAATAAGTCTGGTCCTTTCTCAATCAAACTGAATCCTTTTTTTTTTTTTTTTTTTTTTGCAATTTATGGGAATAATCCATTTCTTTTGTTCCTGTCCGGGATGCTGAGCCTAATACCAGAAACCAGTTAAAAGCCACGCCCTTCCACCCCTGGCAGGTGCAAGGGAGGTCTGTGCAGGGCAGGCACTCATCCAAAAGACCGCAAAGCCAGCAAAACTCTCCTGCAGACTATCCAAACACAACCTCACCAGTCAAGCCAGGTCATTGCAGTAAACACAGCCTGTTACAGGAGCAACTATTGGTCAAGGAATTGATTAGCTTCAAGAATCACTCTGGACCAGGCACTGGGATGGGGGTGGTAATTTATTTATTGTTTAGAGGGACTGTTTGGTGATGGAGGGATGGATAAGCAATTCTTCTCTAGCAAACCTAAGTAGCATCATAAAATGCAAATAATACCTTAATTAATAATGGGCATGTCAATTGAAGGGATGCTGAGTCAGTACAGGCAAGGTGGCTTGGAGAGCCAGGAGGGGCAGTCGCTGTTCCAGGTTCCATCATCCATCCCAACTCAGCCCAGCTGGAGGCCCCGGGCCTGAAGGTTCCTGGGTGCCAGAATCTAAGTGAGGTCTCCCAGGACTTAACAAAGCTCCCCCGCCTGATGGGGATTGGGGACAGGAGTCGTTGGCCCTTGGATCGGTGCATGGACATTTCCTGTCGGAGCGTGGGCACAAATGCTGCATCCCTCGAGATCCAGGGGTGGGGAAGCCTTTTAGTCCAGGCGCGCTCAGCGCCGCGCTCAGAGCTGGGATCTTGTTGCCCGATCTGAGCACGAAGCCCCAGCCTCTGGCCCCGGTATCTCCTCCGACATAATGCAGCCCCCAGGCCTTGCCTACCGAGAGCCCCACCAAAGCGCCAACACATTTCAAAATGGAGCAAAATCACGGACGTCTGGACTGCGCTTTGTTCCTAAGCATTGAGCTAAATGTGCTCCCTCCCGCCGCGCTCCCTTTCCCCTAACCGACAGGAGGTGACTTCTCCGCCCGGGGTCCGCCCTGGGCAACCGTGGCCGTGGGCTACCAGTTCTCGGGATCGCTCCGAGACCCTCACTCTGCAAGAAACCAGAATTCCGCGCCCAGCTCTAGGGTGCAGAGGGTGGAGAGGGTGGAGGGGGGCCAGCCGAGAAGAGGCTGGAAGCTATCCTAGAGCCTCTCCTGCAACCCGCCCGCGGCGGACCCAACTCTGCACTACCCGACCTCTCCCATGCCGAAGGTTCCGCCTAGCCCCAGGCGGGGTCTCGACCCCGAGGCGTCCATTTCCTGGGCCTTCAGATCAATCTGTGCAGCTCTCGTAGATGATTCGGTTCCAGAGATGCTCTTGGAACTGCGCCCCCGCATCAGTTTTCAGCGATAGAATTAACCAGAAAACCTCGCGGACGCGGCTCATCGCAGGAGGGCGAGGCTCGGACTCCTTTGCCGGAGGTCCATGCCCCCCTTCCCGGCTCCCTGCTCCGTTTCAAGGGTGGCGGTGAACTCGGGCTTTTAAGTTAAAATCTTGCACGTTTCCAAAATAATATTCGGCCACAATAAAAAATAGATGAGGGACGCTGATTTGGGTGGCGGAGGCCGCCGGAGGCCAATGAGGAAGAGCCACCGGCTCAGTTAGGGTTGGGGGGGGTCTCCCTCCTGCGCCTCCGGAAGACCGAGGGGCCTCGCCAGTCCCCAGGGCTCTCAATCTCTGCTGGGAAGGGGCGGGGCAACGCCCGGAGGGCCCTTCTCGGGACGCGTGTGGTTTCCATAGCAACCTCCCCTCCGCGCCCCCCTCCCCCAGTCATCTCTGGAAAAAATGGGTGTGGCCCGAAGCACCCAAGGAGCCCTTTTGCCCCCTCCTCACATTCTCCCGCGTGGCAAAGCAACAGGGCATGAAGCGGAGAGGGTCTCCGACAGCGCGCTGTTCCCGCCACCTCCCAAGGGTCGCCGGTTGCCTCTCGGTGGGCAGCCTGGTGGAGTGTGGCCCTCAGGCCTCATGGGGTGTGGGGAGGGGCTTCGTCCCCGGCGGCCATCCGCAGAGAGCTCGGACACCTCGAATCCCAGCCCCTCAGCCCGGTGGACGCTTCCTGGCGCGCGGCCCGGCTCCGGGAGGGGACCGCGCGGGGTCACGCCCGTTCCATGCGTGCCTTCGGGGTTGTGACTCTAGTTCCTTGACCCCCGCAAGCCCGAGATCTAACAAAGGGCTCGAAAATGAGGGGCGGAAAATAGGGGGAGGGGCGGGAGCCTTGGCTAAACACTCTCATCGATAAGAGCCAAAAAACTAGGGCTGGCAACGCGGCTCACGTAAGCCCTACAAACAAAGCAGCTAGTCCTCGAGAAAGATTCCGGGTGAACGGCCCCAGAGCTCAAGCCCACAGCAAAACACCGAGATTTCAGTTCTGATTACCCTCTCTCCCCCTTTAATTACAGTCCTCGCCCTGTCCTCCAAAGCCCAGCCACCCGGCTTGGCACCGAACCGTAGAGACGTGACACGCCGCAAAAAGATGGCACCTCGCGTTTGGAGGGGAAAAAAAAAGCAGGGGTGGGAGTGGGAGGAGGCACAGCCTACTCTCCCCCCTCCTTGCCCACCCGGGTCCACACCCACTGCCGCAGTGAGGGGCGAGCCCTGCGCGCCAGCCCCGCGCCTCCGACAGGGAGCGCACACGCCGGACGCCAGGCGCAGAGAAAGGGGCCCGCCCCGAAATGCACCTGCAGCCCCCGCGCGCGTCTGTGCGGGGCTGCGGCTGCAAGCGCGAGCGAGCTGGGATCCGCCGATGCCCAGTCCTTCCACGTTGCAAGGCCAGGTGACTCCAGCCTTTCGCCTTTCCGAGCCTCCACATCGGGATCCGCGCACTACCTTCTCTCGGGCACGGCGCTGCTCGCGTCTCGGTGCCAGGCGCGCGCAGGGGGAAGGGCAACTAAAGTGACAGCGCCTGGACCCCTCCCCATCTCCCAGATTCCACTCCCAGCCCCCAAATGTCCCCTGCGGGTTTTTGAAGGAGGAAAACGGGGTGGGGGTGCGCCACCGCCTTAAATCAGGGGCAGCGAAAGCCCCAATGGAATTGCTGCCGGGGAGGTGTAGGGAGGGGCAGGCAGGGAATCATCTTCTTTTCCAGAACCGGAACCATACCTTCCTGAAGGGCTTACGGCAACCCCGAAGCAGAGGAATTGGATTACAGGTTCGGCTTCGGGGGTCGTCACTGGACACCCCCAACACACACACATAGACACACGCCCATTGCGGCAAAATGGGACGATGGAGAGTGCACAGCAGCCCCCTCCCCCAGGTCACCACCATCCGCGCCCCACCCTTCGGGCACAACCTCTACCCAGGTCCGCGCGAAGCGGGTCGCATGGACACCCCCTCAGCGCGCGCGCGCGCGCGCGCACACACACACACACACACACACACACACAGGTACGTGCATCCCTTGCATGGGTCCCCTTTCCAAGACGCCCCAGTCCCGGTTCCAGGGCGCACGGGGCGCAAGGAGGGGCCCGCGCGCTTGTCCCCGACCTATGCTTACCTCATGAAACCCATCTCTTAGCAGGGGGCGAGGAACTGGCAGCAAGGAGGTGCAAGGGGGCGGACGGGGAGGCAGATTTAGGAGCTTCGCGCTTACCTGATAGTCGACAGAGGGCGAGGACAGTAGAGGAAAGAGAGGAGAAAGTGGCTGTGGTGGCGGCGGCAGAAGGTGGGCGGCGGCGCCGGCGGCGGCTCTGCTGCTGCTGGTGCGGGAGCTGGTGGGTGGCGGAGATTGCGAGCGCGCGTGCCAGGGAGAGGGCGCGCTCCCGAGGCCGACGGGCGGCGCAGGCGCGAGCAGCGGGAGCGCGAGCCTCCCCGAGGGAGGGGTGGGCAGCGAGGGCTCCGTGGGCGTTCTCTCCTCCGGCCACCAGTGGGCGCGCGCGAGCACCCCACCACTAGGCCCTCCCCCGCCTCCTGGCTCACTCCTCTAGACACTTCCCTTCCCCCGTCTCCCTTTCCTCCAACAGCTCGGGCCGCGGCGCTGGCCGACAAGCGCACGCGCGTTCTGCGGCGCACGCGCATCGTGGGTCTCCTCCCGCGACTGGAGCCTTTGTCTTGTCTTAAGGGTCTCCGCCCTTGGGAGAGAGACTAGGTTGCCTCCTGGGTTCGCCCGGGGGCTGGTGCTCCGCCCCCAGATCCGCTGCTCCTTTTCCTTTCCGTCCCGGGGCGATGTCCTGTCTCTGAAAGGTCCTGGGATGGTTTCCACGGAGCTCCCTAGTCCGATCAGCCCGGGCCGCAAGGCCTCCCCCCGGGCTCGCCCTGCGTTTCGCTGGCAGGGCATCCAGACCCCCTGAGTTTCCCTGAAATGGTCCCCCTCGTTGAAGATTTGTTTCCCTGGGTCCGCTTCCTTTCTACCTGCTCTCTTTCTTTTTTTTCCTCTTTTGCCTTATTGAGCAACGTGAATTCCTAGTAAATCCATATTAAATAGGCTAATTCAACCTGGAGCCTGCTTCAGATTCTTTTTTTCTCTCCCCTTCCTCCGCTCATGCTCTGCCTCTCTGTGCCTCTCCAAAATAAAACATTAAAAAAATTTTAAACAGGCTTATGTAGTTGTAATACGGTAGTATGGGTTCTTTAAAATAAAGAGTATTCAAATCTTCTTTATCTAACCTGACCCTAGCATAAAATTTTAAATTAGAGCAAGTTTCCAATGGTGCTTATCACGTTGCAAAGCATTTTCACATACACCGTTATTTTTATCTTGTGTGTAGGAACGCCATCATACTGTAAGTAGAGCTTGGGATCTGGGTTTCCAAACGCGCGCAGGAGATTCTAACCTGGATAGAACACCTCAGACTGAAACTGACCAGTGGCTTTCATTCACCCAGACCTAGTCCCCTGACTTTGGCCTTAATTGGTCTGCCCAACATTTAATTTAAGCACTCCTTCCCCCCTCTGTCCCCCACCAGGAGGGGCTTTATATGTCTGGGGAGCTTGAGTGGCCACCATCTTGTACTAGAGGGATGGGAACTGGTCTCAAAGCTTTAATTTACACAGCATTTACATTTTCTTTTAAAAAACCCAATATTGTATGTTACACATTAATACAAAAAGCAGGCTGTTAAAAATGGCTTATTCACACAAGATTAATATGCTGTTATTGGGAGAATGGGTGGATGATGGAGAAGGGGCCTAATGTCTTAAACCACTGATGCTGAGTCTCTGGAACTGTCCTTTCTGTCGTCGTTGCAACTGCCACAGTCCTAGTTAAAGATTGCTACCTTGGTTCTGGAAATTTAGTCACCTTACTGGTCTCCCTGTTCTCTGTTTCTCCCTGAATCAGCCCACGCTGGCACCCCCTAGTCAGATCAATTGTCAGAAGCAATCATTTCAATCATGGTGCTCTCTTGCTCAAAGATATCTAAAGTTTTCTAACTGCCCTCTAAATGAAATTAAACTCCTTAGCCTTAAATTCCCATTATTTAAGGAGACCGTGTCTCTCCAGTTTTCTCTTCTCTATGGCAAATTGACCTTGTTTGGCGTTTCCCCACCTCTACTCTGGGGTTTTCCTTTGCCTAACAAAGTCCTTGCTCTTTCTCCCCCCACCCCCAGTGTCCTACCTAACCTTCAAACCCTGGCTCCAATTTTACCAAAGCCTCCCCTAGTCACCCTAACTGAAAGGGAGATTTCCAACCTCTAGAGGGTGTTTAGAAGAGTTTTTCATCTGCTCTCCCAAAGTGGAGAGGGGAGTGCAGGTAATAGTTCTCTTGTAGCACTGAACTTTTGTTACTGTCCCCAACTGTTTCCTTTCCCTTTTTCCTGTATGGGGATTACATGTCCTTGCCTGTTACTGTGTGATCTGCACTGCCTCTATATTCTACTTGCCCATTGATGTTTGACTTGGCCATTTGATGGTTTTAGGCTATTAGAATTAATGTACATTATGTAAATTTGTCCTAAAAAAGCTTTAAGAGGCATTACAACTTTCTACTACTTTTGCTTTCTTTCACCACCAGAACAGCATGTCCTATAGAGCTGCACCTTCAGCCTAGGTCTCAGAATGGAAGAAACAAAACAAAACAAAACAAAACAAAACAAAACAAAAAAACCCCAACAACAACAACACAAGGAAGTACATATACCATGAGTAAGAAATACACATTTATTGTGTGAATCACTGAGATTTTGAGAGCTGTCATCACAGCAAAGCTGATGATACAGAGATTAAATGAGAATATATATAGGGGCACCTGGGTGGCTCAGTAGGTTAAGCGTCCGGCTTGGGCTCAGGTCATGATCTTGGAGTTTGTGCGTTTGAGCCCCACGTCCTCTCTGTACTGACAGCTCAGAGCCTGGAGCCTGCTTCAAATTTTGTGTCTCCCTCTCTCTCTGCCCCTCCCCTGCTCATGTTCTTCTCTCTCTCTCTTAAAAATAAAAAATAAATATTAAAAAACTTTTAATGAGAATATATATATTCTTATATACATTAATATATATTCCTATATAAATATATATTCTTATATATAAATTTCCTTATAAAAATCTATATAGTTTATATATAAATTTCTTAGTGTGTTTGTGTGTGTGTGCATATGTGTAAAGTTTCTCATGCAGTGCTAACAAATAGTAGGCACTCATTAAATAATAAATATTTATTTTATCATCATGTTCTTTTTCAATGCTTTTGCCACACATGATTTTATTTCTAAAATAAAATAAAATGTAACAGTCAAATTAATAGTCATCCTCACTCAAATCTCCTGTTTCCCTTAAGATACAGATAATTGTGAACTGACAGGCACCTGATGGCACTGTGGTGCCCTGAAACTGAATGATCACATTTGCGTATGTTGAATTGAAGTAATGAGTGCTCAAAACAGTCCTAAACAGATATGTCATTCTGTCATTTAACTGTATATGATGTGGAGTCAAGTATTCATTCCCGATAATTTAATCACCATAGGTAGCTAATGGCTCACTAATTCAGGCCGAGAAAATACATCCCCTCCCTTTCTCCCTGCCCTTCCCTCTTGCTGAAATAGAAATCCCATGGCCACAGGGGACCTGGGTGGCTCAGTCTATCAAGCCTCTGACCCTTGATTTCAGCCTGGGTGCTGAACTCATGGTTTGTGGGGTTGAGCCTGGCATTGGGTTCCCCGCTTACAGTGTGGAGCCTGCTTAGGATTCTCTCTGCCCTTCCCCTGTTCATGCACGTGCTCTCTCTCTCTCTCTCTCTCTCTCAAAATAAATAAATAAGTGAACAAATAAACTTAACAACAAAAAAGAAATCTCATGGCCACATTCAGCATACTATGCCCACCTTACCCTACAGAACCCTATAGAAGGTGGAATGACATAGGGATTAGGTTTCAGAAGATTTGGGTCCTCATCTTAGTCATCTTGTATGGTTTAGACAAATTCATTAACTTCCTTGGACTTCAATCTCTTTGTGTAATAGTGTTCCAGGTGGGATTGGAACTAAGCTCCAGATATCCATAGAATTTGGGTAGTCTGCTACCGAATCTATTCATATACTAGTTCAGTCAAGGTAAGCTAAACTGTCTAATAAACAGATCCCAAAATGTAATGGCTCAAACACAACTCCCTTCACAGCCTAGGGGGCAGTGTACGAGGTTGGTGGATGGCCTTTTCCACATGACGTTCAGGAACACAGACTCCTTGCACCTTGAGGTCTGCCACTCCTTGGAGCCGTGTTGTTGTTTGCTTGTTTGAGGCTGGGTCATTAACCACTGGGTCCAGTTGGCAGAAGGAGAAGGAGCAAACAGAGGAACCATGCTGGCTGTCTTAGAGGTTGGACATAACATCTAATCATGTTTCACTGTTATAATTCAATCACATGGCCACCCCTAGCTGGAAGGCACACCAATAAATGTAGGAGAGTTGTGTACCCAAGAAGAGAAAGGATTAGGGTGGAAGGTAACGGTTTTTGCCATACACACCTTGACTTACATTCTGGGTGGAAAAGACCCTTGGAAATAGAACCTGAACTTGGTCTATCATAAGATTCTCACATATGTGACTATGTCAGGGGACCTTGAGGTAGTTAGTGGATAGATAGAGAAAGATGACTTCAAATTAACTTCTGAAGAGAGAAGACATCATTGAATATCTTTCTATCAGAGGGCTTTTAACCTTTTTAATTCCACAGCTCCCCAGGGGTCTGGCCAGGCTGCTGTTGAGGTGGATTGTAATTCACCTTCTTCCTTTGCCTGTTTCCTTCCTCACCTTCCTGTTTCCTTTTCCTACTTCCTCAGGTGTGGATTGCATGTTCCAAAACACATTTGTCGCCTAAACTCTGGTTCTTGGGGAACTCAACCCAGACAACTGGTGTCAGGAGTGGTCTAAGAAAGCAGGTGATACAATGCAGTTTGGGAGCTGGGAAGTTTGCTATCCAGCTGTCAGTGTGGGTCCATCACTGGTGGTAAGTGAAGTACAGATAGCTCCTGGCCCAAGGCGGGGTGCTGGTGGACGAGAGTGCATGAGGTGTGTATGAGATATCAGGTGTTTGAGGAATATGGGGGAATTAGTAACTAAGGGTAACATAATTGGGTGACTATTACTAAATTCAGGTGAGTATCCATGTTCCAAAGAAGCCTAAACTTCCAACCAAGGCAGGCCTACTATGACTGGGTCAGAGCCCTTGTTGGGAAAGGATGGGCTCTGACATGTAAAATGGACATTTAAGTGATACCCTTGAAAACCCCAGATTCCTTTGAATTCTCTGAGCCTGTAGGAGTGCCCCTCCCCCTTGCTTGAAGAAAATGCAAGGT